AAAAAAAAATAACGTTTATTTAAGAGTAGAACATTGCAATGGGAATATAAGTGTCATAGTAAACTATTTGTGTATTCAGGGAGTTAAAGGAAGACAAAGATTTTTAAAGAAAAAATGATGGAAGATTACCTAATTTGTGGTGAATAATTATCCCTTGGCTACAAGAATCAATAACAGGGGTGATACCAGATCCTGGCAGTTGCTGGGCAGATATCCTTGCAGAAGTAATTTTTGTGTCAGGTTGCCATGGCTTCTGTGTAAGGTTGAGGGTCTGAAGAGTTATTCATGATAGTTCTTGTTATCAGGCACGTGTGCATGAGAACCTTCCCTTTCATGCTCTTTTTCTGCCTCTATTTGGCAGGGGTTCTAACAAATGTGACTTCATTTTGATTCTGATAACATTCACATTTCTCCTTTTGGTTCAAGATCTTTCTCCCAAAGGATCACTTATCTATCATCCTGTGGTTGTGTTTTGATGTCCCTTGGTGCCAGGATGGACCTGTCCTAGGTTGCTGGTCTGGTCTTACATTGCAGGAAGTGAACGGTGGCCAGCAGTCAGTGCTGAAATCATTTTAGCCACATTTGAGCTACAAGGAAAGTTTGAAGGATGTGGCTTTCAGGCTCGGTCTACCTGGAGTTGATTGTTAAGTTCAGTTTTGTCTGTTTCATGGTCTTTTGTCATCATCTCAAAGTGTTGGGCCAGTATTATACTGTTAGGGGTTGTACTTCTGCAAAAATTTAATAAGTAATAGGTACAAAGTTTAAAAAGAGAAGATCCAAAGAACAATAAATAGTAATATCACAACCCCAGTTTGCATAATGGTTTGGAGCCATAAACCTAGGCTTAAAGGCAAGCAATTGAATAAACCAAATGACTATTAACTAGCGAGGAAAAAAAAGGTGAACATTAAGAAGGGAAGAGTCTCATTATGATATGGAGTTTCATCCTAACATCTTATAAGAAGCTGTCTACAGCATGAAACTGTCAACCTCTCATTCTGTTTTGCAGTTTGAATGTCTCTGGTTATGACATCAGGCAGTTGGGTAAAATTTCTATGTGGTACAAAGATCGACACAAGGGTCGTTACTTAAAGTTCCTCTAGGTTTAGCTTATTGGGCTTCAGAAACAGAGAAGTTTCCATTTTTAGTAATTTGAAAGACAGTTGGATTGAAGGAATTTAGAGGAATTTAGTACCTAATCCAGTCTACAGGTACATAATAAAAACTCAAATGAAATATACATGGCCACAATCTAATAACAGGTGTATTATAGATTTTATTTTAGAAACATAACTTCTTTTCTCTGCTCAATCACATGGGAATCTCAGATTTGAAAACATCTTGAGGCAAGGAAGCCAAATGAAGTCAGACTTCAGATTTCATCTACAGTTTTACGGTTTCACAGTCTGC